AATTGCAAGACTTGCTTCTTCAGGTGTATCTTATTTGCTTGCCCGCAGACCCATGACGCAGAAAATTGGAGGAGCCTGCATGCACAGGAGGTTGTAATATCACCTGACCTGCGAACAGGCATACTCTGGGTACATGATTGATTGTGGCAATAACAAAGTGGCGTGCAAAATGCCTTGATAAAATTATTATGGAGATTGTAAATTATCATTACCTGTGGATAACTAAGGCCGGATTTTCCTGTAAATGTTGGGGAAGGTGGAGGAGGTACAGGTATATCGGTGCGGACTTTTGGGCTTTAAGGCGTCCCCCCCCCCTCTCCCCCCAATGTATTTATATGAATTGTGCGACTGTATGACTCCTCCAATTTTCCCCTTCGTTTAATGTTGCATTAATTAAAAGGGTAGTTGGCATGGAGGTGAATGATTATCAATTTTTCAATGTTATAGAAAAATTACTTTATTTCAAGTAGAAATTTTACAGTAAATGTAGAACTTCAGCAAGTCATAAAGATTCAATAACAAACAAAGTGAACTGTGAAGTTTGAGTCAAATATTCACTTTGATAAATCATTTCACCTTTCTCATTTATCTTCAAGGTGAAGGGGGTGTACAAAACGATCTCGGGGGAGGTGCATAAGTCTTCACATCATCATTTTCTTATAGTCTATACTCGCATTTCAATACTCATGGCAACAGCGGGAATCGCGAATTAGTGGCAGATCAAATTGCGATATAAATCATTTAATAGTAAAATTCTGTTTCAGTTTATATAAATACAGGAATTTTAAATATTTCCCTTTCTAAAATGAAATATACGGTCAATAAATATACAGTACGTCCCTATACACATTACATTACAGGTTTGTAGCTTATAGCTCATATGGTCTGGCTTAGCCAGCTGTACTCAATGAGGCTGTACTCTTCTCAAAAATATCACACAATAATGTCGACCACGTATATTTTTATTTGGTTTAACTATGCGTGGTGTTTCCACAAAACAAAGCAATAGACCTTTATAATGACGTCAAATGCGGAAAAACACTTAATGATAATTTTATGAAATTTATTGACCCGCCAACACTTTGCATTGTCCTTTGCATGGGACATCACATACATTGGTTTTCCGCGTTTGACGTCATAAGAAAGGTCTATTATACTTTTTCAGTCGCTATGCAAACATGCAAAGAAATTTATACCATGCTGATACTCTTATCTTGTCTTAAAAAACTGTATGTTCAAATTTAAAAGATTATTTAAGTATTCTCGTGGAAAAATATGCATTTAAGTAGAAGGTTATCCAAAAATGGCTATTCCCTAAACCCGGTTTGGTCATGGCAGTCGAAACCGTTTACCTGATGCCTAGCTCGCCATCCGCAAGCAAATAAACGCCTACTACGCAGGCTATACCTGATGCCTGGTATGTTTGATTTAATATATGTGTCGCGATACATATCTGAAATCAGTGAACTGATTTGAAGACAACACACAAAAGACAAGATAGATCCATCACGATCAGCGGCGCCGGAAGCAACGTGAAGTGGTGGGGGTAGTCTTAAGCCCGAGACACATCACTCATCAGACGCGATTCGACAACGCGGCGCGATTTTTCAGTTTTTGAAAGTTTACAAAACAACCAATGAAAGGAAATTTTAAAAGATATGTAGACCAAATAACTCAAAATGTTATGGCGCTTCTAAATAGTTGAAAAACGTAAACCATAATCAAACCACACAGATGTCAACCGAGCATTGTTGAATCAATGTTGTTTCTTCTCCTTGGAACACACTCTTGATATAGTCCAATCTTGTCCTTTCTTCATGTCCATGAAGAGAGCCATAACCCATTCTTGAAATGAACCAGATCCCAGAGTTACCAAATGCTTTGAATGACTTAAAATATTCATCTCTACAATTGCCACTACTCCGTGGTCCATTAATGACGGATCTGTTAGGTGAGGACTGTACCGCTTTGGCTTTAGTTTATCCATGAGAAGCTTGTCAAACCTCTTCAGACGTTTTCGATTGTTAGGCAGTAGGGTATCAGAACCATACTGAGTTAAGTCCGTAGCTAAGAACACAGTGCTCATTCCATATTTTTGTTTTAATTGCAAAACTCTTCTTGTTACAGCATCAACACATTTTAGAAAAAATATCTCCGAATACCACAATAGTTGCCGTTCGGATCTCACATGTACCGCAATATAAGATTTCTCTAAAAACGTCCTTCTATAAAGTTCCGCTTCCTGTAGTATAAGGTTGCTATGACGGAGTCTGTGAACTATTTCACGTGCGTTTAGTTTCACCTTTGGTTTAAAATGAGTTCTATCCATTCCAAAGCCTCTCCAGTAAGTAATGACCACACACTTATCGCCTTGAAGGATATCATTTTCAAATTGTTTATGATCGATAACCTTTTCTGCATTAACACACAATTGCCTGTCCGCCTCCATTTGACCTAACCGCCTTGATATATTCAGGCCCTTGTCGATAAAAGGACACTCGGTCCAACCAGTTCTATTGGCTTGTAAAGAAATCATTTGATAGTCTTTTTCGCTTAACCTAAACCATTTTTTGGTTGTCTCTTTTCCGTCGTGGTACAGGAAATGAACAATTGTTACATTTGATGTTGTTTTGTTGCAAACCTGTTTGAACTCAGTCAGGGGCCGTACGGTCGCATACCGATTTTGAGAGAGTATTTCGTTGAGAGCTTTCATATCAAAATATAGGCTGAGCGGCTTAAACAGGCGGCTTGGTGTAAGTGCTTCACCCCACCAGCCGGATTCTAAACCACACATTCGTGAATCACGAACAAATGGTTCGACAACAGCTCGTGATCCATATGCTGCTATAGAGCACAGCTGAACAAAATTTTCTGTCGTTTTACCAAATTGCTCATAGTGATGAAAGACAAACATATACTTATCATTGTCACTCTCTTGTTGATCCAGTGCGATTGATATAATCTTCTGTTTACCGTCTTGATCAGCACGATGCCGATTTGCAATCCTAACAGGATGTATGCCATACACACGTTTTATAATAGACGAGGAATCGGTCTCTTCTCTCTTGAATGCCACCCCATTTCTGTTCAAACTACGTACAGAAGTCCTCTCGTCCGCAAACGAAACATCGGCCGACAAGTCGTCAGTTACCTGGCTTGAACGACTGTATAGTTGTAATTCAAGTCCTGTAAAAAAACTCAACCAAACAGATATACTCCCAAACAATGATACACTTGTCGCAATTATTATAACACGTTGAATAAGTCGCAAATGTAAACGATACATCATTGCTCAACGTTTAACAAATTGCCAATGACGACGTTTAACCTTCTTGAACTCTTACTTCGTTTCAATTTTCTTTTTACAGATGTTAACCCATTTTCATTTGTGAAATAACTAAACATTATAGTTGTTTAGCCGTTGTGAATAGTCAAAGATATACAAATGCTCTCGACTGACTTCGCTTGGTTGAACATACATGTCAGCAAACAAAGAATTCTTCTTTCTTAAGATTATTATAATAAGCAACAAAGCTTCAGCATATAGGTTATCAGCTTCGTGCTAATTATGAGATATTACTCGAATTTCCTTTAACATTATTCACACAATATAAGACCGAAACCAAAAATACATTTCCAAAATAAGATGACTTCGCTGTCGTGACTGACTTGGAATGCTAATTAGTAATTCGTTATAGTTGACACACCGAATCTGCATAATTAAATATTGCTGCCTTCCTCTGTTGCGTGCTACATTTAGTAAAAAGTTGTCATTTGTCCCACACATGTCATTAAAGTACAAAGAGAAAGTTTTGCTACAAAAGCAATGCCAAGCTGTTGCATTCCCAGTGTCGTTGACATTTTGTTTTGAAAACTTTGTATTTAATTAAACTAAAATGTAAACTAATCAACATGCAATAAATCATGTAAACATTCAACATGTTGTCAGTTGCTAAAGAGTTGTCAGTTGCTTATGGAAATTAGAGTTTCATGAAACTTCAAGATGGGAGCAATCTCGTGCTCAGATCAACGATGCTTCTGGGTGCGAGATTGAGACTAGAGTGCAATGTCACAATATTTCCGTGCAATATCAAACGAAACAATTGTTACGGTTAGAGAAAATGAATTACTTCTCAGATTACCTACCTGCAATAGTTTTACGTAACACAATACACGCGCAATACAAGTCTGCAAACAAGTTGTGTTCACACTGCTTGTTCCCAGTTGTTGTAACAAGTTTGGAACAAGCTGTTAACAACTCGTAACAAGAAAAACAAGCTTGATGGCATTATCAGACATGTTACAAGGTTGTTCTAACAAGTCTGATACAGTCATGATATAACAAAAAGGTTAACGACAAAAGGGTTGTAACAATATTGTTAGATCATGACTGTATCGGACTTATTGGAACAACCTTGCAACAAGTCTGATAATGTTAACAAGGTTGTTACAACTGTTAACAAGTTACATACCTTTCGACAACTTGGGAAAAGCAGTGCGAACACAACTTGCTGACGGCTCAGTGTTGGCAGACCGTGCTAAAAGATTTGAGATTTTCGTGTGTATACCACGCGGTTTATTGCAAACTGACTTTATATGAGTCGTTTGTGACTTATTTAAGTCGCGGCTAAATGGCCCTAATGTACCTTAGCAGACCTAGTTGGTAAGAGGCTAGAGCGTACAGAAGACGATTGTACATTTGAACATCGCTTCATTTTATATGAAGATGTAAGTCCGTGTGGCAATAACATTTTAAAACATGGTATAAAACAGCAGAATTGTTCCTGCAGTAAATAATTCCATGAAGCGCAGAAATTCGTCGCATTTCTCTAACAGCATCATGAAATCCCTACGCGTAGGCATTTCAAATTTAACAAGACGCCTACTCAGGCGTTCACTCCGGGTACAGGGCCTTAACTAAGCGCAAAGCTACTTTAACGTATGCTTCTATACGGCAATGAAGGTATCTTTAATGCATGATATTTAGCATATTAAAGTTGGAAAAGTGGGAGAACTACACCACTTGACCAGGTGACTAAAAACATATGCAATGATCATAATATTTTATAACATAAAAATAAAAGGATATTGTGACACTAATTATCTCTAATAAAAGCTATCTAGTTCTTTATTAAAAGTTCTATTTAAAACATGCGTAGGAGTGTTTTTTCAAGTCGTATATAATAAGTCGGAGGCCGTATTTTACAAATATTTTATGGGTTTTTTTATTGTCGAGGGTAGAAATTCGAGGGTGAAAAGCTTGAGGATACATTTTAATAATTTAACAAAATAATAATTTAAGTTCGTGTTCACTTACTTTACTTTTAATTTTTAGCTCTTATTTTTATATGCAATTATTAATTTTTTATATGCGATTACTTTTTATATGACGAAATATTACTACATAAAAATAGACATGCCGATCAAAAGCGACAGTCGAGATATTTTCAAACGGCGTGGTGCATTATCTGCGTTATCTCGGATTGCATGTCGCAAATCATTGTATCAGTCTATATGGTCTATTGAATCAAAGTAATCAGGACTTGTTTACACCTTTCCATTGCCATACGCCTTTTCCGGGTTCGCGACGCCATCTTCAAAGTATTGTTTTCGCTATTGTGCTTGCCCCACTTGCAAATTTACCTATTGGGAATGCCCGCAAATTTCTACCCTCGACAATAAAAAACATAAAATATTTTAGAAATACGACCCCGGACTTTTTATATATGACCCTCGACTTTTTTATATATGATTTTTCGACCCTCGCTTCCCACCCTCGACCCTCGAGAAGAACTCCTGAAACTGAATTACTAAAAATAGCTAACGTAAACAAACCACATTTATCAAACACGCAAAGAAAATTATTTAAAAAGTAATATATTGTTAGTCGTGTCATATAGTTAATTGTCAACACTTTTTCAATGCATGGTAGTAAGTTTATAACTGGCACCAAGTTATGTTGATATTTTGTTTATACAGATTGATTGTTTTAATTTGTAAGGCTTCTGTAATGTATCGATCAATTCGAAACTTCGCCATCCCCCCCCCGGGCCGACCCCGGGAATTTGAACTTTTTGAAATTTGACTGATCAAATTCTCTACCCTCTGTGCAAAAAATGTCTTCAAATGCCCCACTGTAACAAGAAATTAAGCGTTCAAATGCCCCACCTTCATATGAAAATTATGAAACAGTAAATACAAAAAGTACAAAATATACGGAAATGTTTTCGACAAGATAGCGAAATTCGCGTAAACAGTTTGGATACCTTGTGGAAATTTAACAGTTTTACAGTTATGTAGTACATACCTTCAAATGAAACACATAGATTTTCCATGCCCGTTTCTTTGAGCCAGTTTTTTCACAAAATTGAGGCCGTTTCCCTCGAAATCTGAGAAAACTGTATTTGCCGCCATTACGAAGTATTTTCTGTGCATGCAGGAAGCACGCGAAAACGGGCAACATTTTAAGACTTCCGGTTCAAATTCCCCACCCCGTTACCAAATGCCCCACCACATGGAAGACTTAGAACGTCAAATTCCCTACTCCCTGGAGAAGACTTGAAGTCAAATTCCCGGGGTATGCCCGGGGGGGGGATGGTGAAGTTTCGAATTGATCGATACATAAGTTTGTTATTATCAAACGTTTAGATTGTTCTAGTAATGATTTTACTTTAAGACCAAGACAATGCAGCTGTCGAGACCGAGTTTTAGTACTCTATAAATAAAACATTAAACTGTGTAATAGAAGTGATAGTGTTGGGTAAAGCTCATCTATAGTTAGTCGCTGGGGCACTCTGTGCCTCCAGCTACTATAGGTTTCGGCTTCATCGCGGATTGTTGGTCACAAAATGACCTACGTCATTTTTTTGTCAAACATTACGTCATTACTTTCAGTCGCTGGATTCAAGATGGCCGCCTATTTGGGAGCGTATTTGGAAATAATTTCATCGATTTTGTGCATATTTTCTTCATTTTTTCGATGAAACTTAATAGTTTTCCATCAGCCAGACTCTATAAACCGAAAGTCATCTTATATGAGTAAACTTGGAAGGCTGGAAGCCTGAAATAGACGACAAAAGTTCACAATTTTCACAAAATTGGAACTTCGTAAATTGCAACAATAATATTCGCAAGTTGCTGTTTATTTGGATGTAAATAGAATCTGCTTAATGGGACAAGGGTTTAATAGAACTTTTTGCCTTGCTGGCAAATGATATTTTAAAAGCTCTCAGGACAGCTGTTATCTCACAATAGGTATTGTACAATTCAAACACACAGAACATATTAATTTGTATAATAGATAAATTTGGCAAAGTTAGTTACATTGTTGCTATGCAATTCACAACTTTAAATATTCATGCCTAGTTAGTGTTCTACAGTAGTTCACACATAGAATAGAACAGAGGTAACTAAGCATTTGATAAGCCCTATACACTATAAAAGTCATTCATTCATTCATGTAGCTAGATAATTCTAAAGCTTAGTTATCTTTGCTGTACTCTATGCTTCAGTACACCAGAACAATGATACTTAAGGCTGCATTCCAGTTTCATAGGTGCGTACACGCACGTAAAAGTTGAATTCGGTTAAAATTTCATATAAGTGCAAATAACCTTAACAAATACACATTAAATCATACACAAAACTGAATGCTGTCCTTTTATAAATTTAGTTATTTCATAACGCGTAACTGGAATGCAGCCTTAAGGCATGTGACTTAAGTAAAGTTGCGAATTGGATATAACCAAACTTAGACAAATTTGTTTATTGTCTATAGTCCGGGGACTTGTTTGATGAACTTTGTTTTAATTTTTCCTTGAATCCCATTTTTGACAAAAACAATTTTATTATATGAACACATAAACTTAACAAACAAATAGCAGTCTTAATCTCAATCGCATGCAGCATAATATGCAATAGCCCCAGCGACTAACGCTCAATAGAGCGTCTTGTTATATATATTTTATACGCGCTTTTGTCTAATTCAAGCGTGGTAGACAATATTGCCAATATTGTTGTGGTTTGCGATATAAATTGCCTCGCGAATCGAAGACTTTCAGATATGTCATATGTCGAATAGATTTGTGCGTTGTTTGTACTTCAATTTTGGCCACGAGGCACAAATTAGGGAGACTTAAAGAACACGAGTGACAAGTGTTAACACAATTTAACTACGTACAGTGTTGACAAAATTAAAAAATACCGGGCTAACGTCAGTAACGAACCAAGCCAGTTGTCGATCAGAATTAGCTTTCCAATAACGGCAACCGCTACTAAACACGCGAGAAAGTCTCGAATTTCGATTTGTATTTATATGAACTGTGGTCATTGTATAAGAACGAGTGTATGAGAACCCCTCCATTTGATAATATTTACTGTAAATAGAACTAAATACATTGTAAACAGCTAAACACAACGCTCGCTCCGATCTACTACGAATGGCGGCTATTTTTAGATATTTCGTATTTTTGTAGTGCGTTGCGTGCGTTACGTACGGTGCACCTGTGGAAGTGCACACTTGCGTCGCCTAAGAAAAAAGATTGGCCATTTTAATACTCCGGTACTTACAGTACCCGGAGTAATTACCCATCGAGTGCTAGCACTCTCTTTGCATCTCTTGTGACTTGTGCATTGCCGTCTGGCGTTATAAACTAACAAAGCAGGGATCATTGGAAAACAATGCTAGTTAATTTGTCAAACTTTGGAACAAATGTCGCAAATGCCGATGCAATTGCGGTTTAATATTGCACGGTTTTCCGCCAGGTGTTAATTTCCTGATATTTCAAATACTGATTCATAAACAGCCTTCGTAGCGCAGATAGGTTGATCATTCGATCAAGACGTACTATGATCTGGACTAGGAAGTATTTCTAGACCAGTGGACTAGGGTGGTTAAATTATCGGGCTGGACGCTGTATGTCACAATCTAATAGCAGGGTTGTGCCGGATACTGCTTTGCCAGATACAGGATGGTACCGGATAGTTGTCTACCGGATAATAGAGAACCTATCATTGGCTTAGCCGTATTTGATAGGTTAATTGGATATATATAAAACGCATGTGATTGGTTAATCAGATATATCAAACGCAGGTGATTGGTTACGTGAGTGAAGTAAAGGGTGTGCTAATTCATCCTTACTTGCAGCTGAGAGCTAAGCTGAATTACGAAGGACGCAGCTCAACCTGATCCAGTCGAATGCTTATTACTGAGGGCGCCTCTGGAAGCCATCGAACTCGTGTCTGATTACGGAGCAAAGCTACGGTGGAAGAATCAGTTAGGAGGCTAATCCCACCCTGTCAACATTCCATCAATGCTAGCGGTAGTGGAAGTCAAATCACTGGAAGTCAAAATTAATGGTCCCTTAATGGTAGTGGAAGTCAAATCAGTGGAAGTCAAAATTAATGGTCCCTTAATGGTAGCAGTAGTCCAATCAGTGGAAGTCAAAAACAATGGTCCCGTAATGGTAGCGATAGTGAAAGTCAAATCTGAACCTCTCTATTAACTGGATACTGATGGTGGTACTTGGACAATACGTCACTAACTTTTTGTCATAAAATAGTCCATTGTCTGTTTAGTATGTGGCACAAGGATCGTCAGACAATGTACAGCAGAGAGCAGTTTACAGCACAAAAATGTAATAAGTGGCGTTTGATATCCGGTTTGATATGTCGATAATCCGACTAGCTCCGCGGAACTATTAAATAATGATTTAAATAAGATTTCAGAATGGTCAGATAGGTGGTTGGTGACAATGAACCCCTCAAAAACTAAATCTATGACATTTTCCAACAAAAAAGAGAAAGAAAGTCATCCGGTACTTTCAATGAGAGGCTGTCCTATTGATGGAGTCGTCTCGCACACTCATCTGGGTTTGACTTAGCCTGCGAACAGGCTCTTTGAATTGAAAAAAGAGAGTTCAAAGAGAGCCTGTTCGCAGGCTAGGTTTGACTTTTCAAAGTAATATGTCTTGGAATAATCATATTTTATCAGTTTATGAAAAGGCATCTCAACGATTAAATATGTTAAAACCATTGAAGTTCAAAATTGATAAATCAACTCTCGCCTGTTTATACAAAAGTTTTATTCGGCCAATAATGGAGTATGGCGATATTATTTGGGAATGATAATTGTACTGCCAGGAATAGTGAGTTACTTGAATGTGTTCAGTAAAGGTACCATAGTTCGAATAGTCTTTGTCAAGAACTGGCCTGGGAGGAGTTGAGCATTAGAAGAAAAATTCACAAATTATCTTGTTTTTATAAGATAGTTTATAATTATTCTCCTCTATATTTAATTGAGCTTTTACCAAAAATGGTTAATGAAAGGTCTTATATTCCGTTAAGGTCTGGTCATAATATTAGTCAATATAATTGTAGAACTGAAAAATTTAAGAAATCATTCTTTCCTTCCACGCTTTCGTTGTGGAATATACTCTTGATATTGACATTAGAAATTCAAATAAATAAGATTTATCATCCGCTTTGTTATAACAAATGGTTAAATTTTTCTCTTACGAGGAAGGCATCTGTTTTACATGCAAGACTAAGATTAGGTTTTTGTGCGCTTAATGACTATTTGTATATAATTGTTGTAATTCTCCTTTATGTATATGTTGCCATCAAAATGAAACAGTTAAACATTATCTTTTATTATGTCCTGCTCAACGTAATGAACCTCTTACCTCTGCTGCACAAGTTTGTGGAAAAGCATGGCTAACGAGCAACGACAATGGAAAACTTGAAAAAACCCAACCAGATGCGTACTTAGCCAGTAAGAATGGTAGCCGTAATGGCAGTCAAATTTCAACCTCTCTAATATCTAACGCAAAACAGACGGTTTTGTGGTTATAATAAAAGTTCCATGCTATATCCGGTAAATATCGGGAAATTTATTATTGGATATGGGACAGTGCTGGAAATCTATATAATTTGCCGGATCCCTATATTTGGCACATCCCTACCTAATAGGCCCTTTGCAGCTGACCTAAAAACACTTTACATAACAATATCTGGAGGAAAATCCCACCGTTCTCCATGCTCTCCAGTCACGTATTGTTCTCAACTATTTTTAGCGAACTGGAAAGAGCCTATTCTCTCAAGGACCGTTTCATGTGTGGAAGGCATAATATGACAAAATGTCCACCAAGTAACTGTGGTACAACTGTATAAGTGTAAATTTCCCATCAAATGTTTTTATTGTTCTTATAACAAGTAATTTTCACGGTATACAAGATATAATTAAATTAAATAATGCGGTGATTTATACTGTATTTACTATGCACAAGTTATCCACGGAATATTCTTGTATGATAACTAAGTCTATGAAATGATCTGGCACAATAATTTTAGTCTGACAGACAAGTGTACAGTCATCTGCACACTAGGACAGACGTCATAACTGAAATCCTTAAAAGGAAAAGCTGGCATCATTTGTCTACAAAAAAGAAAGAAAATTTTAAAATCTTATGAAACGTTGTTCTGACGATAACGCAACACAATAGTAGATATACTTGTCACGGCGCCTGGGAAGATCATCTTATTTTCGATGACAGGCCTCCGTGCCTAAAATGGAATCACGGTCAAATTACTTGTCACGGCGCCTGGGAAGATCGTTTTATTTACGATGACAGGCCTCCGTGCCTAAATAAAGTTCTACAAAGACTGGATAGCACTATCCAAAATAGCTTCCTAAAATAACCCGTTACATGTAATTGGTACAGTATAAACCAACCTCGTTCCCAGGAGCCTGGGAACGAGGTTGAGTATAAACCAGATTAAATTTTAGTATTTATAAATTTAATAAACAAGTTCCTTGTTATCAATACACTCTTTCGATAATTGCGTCACACATACGTTTTGGTCTTGGAGCCTCGCTCTCATTAGTAAATTACGCAAGGTGATTGGCTCACGATTCATGAGAGCGAGGCTCCCAGGCCAAATGACGTAATTATCGAAGGGTGTATTGTGAGGTCCATATCGGTAATTTTGTAGCTTTATAAGCATTTTTGACAACAGTCGAAAAATCACTATCCGGTGGATAACTCTATCCAGCCTTCGTACAACCGGCTCCAGTACTGTAGTAATTTACTGTAGTAATTTATTACAATATACTATAGTTAACAAATTGATTGTAGTAAAATATACCGGGTGTCCCCAAAAAAGTACTCGGTTTGATTCTTATAATAACTCAAAGGGAGTGAAGCAATTAGACTCAAATAACTTTCATTAAATAGAGGAAAGGCTAACTTAGATTTTGATATATTAGATGTAAGTTTTCGCTCATTATTTACTGAGATACTAACGTTTGAATTTATGCAAGTTTTTGATTGATTTTTAAAAATACCCGAAAACAAGTTAAGGGGTAATAAATTTTCTTGAACGGCTTATACTCATATTTTGAGTAGTCTCAAACAAACAAAACAAAGTTGACTGTTTCTAAATCTGAATAGGATGAATATGGTAGTTTAAATAATACTGTTCTACATGCCTTTTTGCGAATACATATTACTGTATCAGCGCTATATTTTTGATACATTTTGTTCCAAGAATGTTGCATGTCTCTGGGGAGTTGCATGTTATGTTATGTTGTTATGTTATGGTTTAATTGTGTTTGAATATGCCAAGATTAACTAAGGATCAGAGAGTTTGGATTTACTTAGAGCATGCAAGATTCCAAAACGCGGCAGAAGTTAGAAGACGATAGCCGGGTCACTGGGGTAATACTCCTGCCCCGACAAAACGAACAATAATTAGCGCAACGCACAAGAAGTTTTTGCATGAAGGGATGTACATGGTCACGCGACTCCGAACGAATAAATCTTGTTTGTATTTTGTAAATAATAATACTTCGTTTCACAATAAACATTTTATCAAGTTTCATCAATTTACTGATAATAATACGTCTTTAAGTTGAGCAACGCTTGGTTAATATTTGATATGCCGTTTTTCGCAAATTTTTTGCACATCCAGAAATATGCTACCAAATTTGAACATTAATATATCGGTCAGTTTTTTTACAAATATACAACTGTAATATATCAAAATCTAAGTTAGCCTTTCCTCGATCTAATAAAATATATTTGAGTGTAATAGCTTCACTCGCTTCAGAGTTATTAAGAATCAAACCGGAGTACTTTCTTTTGGGACACCCAGTACATTCCTTCTATCTTGTAAATCTCCCCTCAAAACCCTTTTAATCTTATGCCAAAATTTATCTAATGATGTATTCGTCTTCCTAATAACACAAAATTTAATTTATAGTAATTTATAGTGTATTGCACCTGAATAATTCCAACAATAACTCCAAACAGCCCAATGGCACTTCCAAAAATCTCAACAATAAGAATCTTCACAAACAACGCTGCATTTTGAGCGTCAGCTAAGGCAGCTCCACTGCCTATGATTCCAACACACACTCCACAAGACAAGTTGGAAAGCCCAACTGTCAATCCTGCTCCAAATATCTTGTAAGCTAAAAATTTCAAGGAAGACATATACATTTGTAGAAATGTTACTATTGTTCCCAACCCCGCCCTGGTGCAAAGCAGTCACGTGATAAGTATTACATCCAAGATCGAGATCATACAGTATTTTCGGGTAAAAAGGAGATAATAAGATCATAAGTTTATATGGAGCTCTAAAATGAACAAATCTAGGTGAATATCGGTATACCAAATTAGCATAAAATGTTTGCAATTAAACGAAGACATATCATATATTTTGAACTTCGTTCAGATGTCTGTAACCTTGTTTACGTTTGCATAAATTGACAGTTGAGTAACGCTTAATTCACAACTAGCGCACATAAATGGGCAATGAAATTAGAAACATTAACTGCCAAACTGAAACTTGCAATGTTTCACACGCCGGCTACAACAAATTGTGATCACGAGGTAGACAAACATGTCCTCAATAATTGACAAAACTGCCACTTAAAGTATAGCCTGCGTAGCAGGCGCTATTTAGGGGGGGGGGGGGGC